GCAGATAATACATGCAGGAAACGTGTAGAAACTGAAAAAGAAAAGGTGCGTCAGCTTCCTATTCTCAACCTGTCCAAAAAGGATGGCGTAATATTCATTACCTTGCGAGCGGTTAATAATAAGAACGAAGAGATGAAGCCAATTGTATTTAAGGTAGTTAAAAGCGATCTTGCTGTGGCTTTAAGTGAGATCAAGAGAAAGTTAAAAGAGAAAGGTTTTCGTAAATGCACCTGCCATCAGACTTTAATGATGTGCGTCTGTCGCGACAACGAGGAGAAGAAACATCTCGAGGTCGCAGTACAAAAAGAGTGCAGACGACGTGGCATGGAAAATTGCGTAGATCATCTGGTCCTCACGGACACCAGTGACAGCGAAATGGAGTTCGACTTCGATGTGACATCGCCGGCAGGCGTACCACAGCATCCAACTCCGCCAAAGCCATGCACCGTCAACAGAAATACGCAGACAGCTGTGAAGGAGCAAAAAGTTTCGCCTATATATCCAGTCAAATATACCCCTTACTGGCGTTCCTTGGACTGTGCTGCGGGAGATCGCTATACGGGTACCGCTTTTGCCAATCTTGGTGAAACCGTGTTTGAGGATGGCCTATTTGGCCATAGGGGCGGTGGTCCGCATGGTGTGCCTGCTACTGATGGTGCTAGACCAAAAAGCAAGACTATCTGGGGCGAAAAGCCCGGTGGACCTATGATCGGTGGTGGACGAACTGGGCCAGTGGACAGTCCAGGCGGAAAGTCATTCCCCGGTGCCAAAAAGAAACAAGCAGCAGGCAAAAGTGCTCCCATTCCTGTTAGAATGCCCAAGCGCTATTATAAAGCTATAGAAGAGGCAGCGAAAGCAGCAGCCAAGCAGAAAGAGGAGGAAAAAAAGAAAAGGAACCCAGACATGTTAAAATACCTTATGAAACGCGGCGTTATTCCTACCCCATGGGATCCTAATGCAAATGCGTAGCAGCAGATAGTATGTTATTACTATTTTTTTGAATATTTGTATATTTATATATTTTTACTGTTATTGATCAAACTACCATTTGATTTTATATTTTTGACAATAATAAATTTTAAGATTTCAGTCAAACTTTCGTGCTTGAGTTGTATGTATTTAACAGATCTGTTGTAAAAATTTAATTGTTAAATAAACAAATTTGTTGTTTGGTTAATTTTTAGATATAATAGAATAAATTAAAAAATAATGCATTCGGAATCGAAAAAATTAAGTGTCATACACGAGTCGTGTAACTATTTGTTTGATGTTATTGTGACTCATTTTAGGACAAATAAGATAAAAATTCAAAATCCCGCCCAGTTGCAGGTGGATGTCAACTTTAACAACCAAACGTTGCGTATAACAAGAAGTCGTATTAATGTCACCGAATTCAAAACCGGTTCGGCTCTTGAGTTCAAAGAGTTTCCAAACAAGCTACGGAAGTTCCTCTCGAAATGTGGAATGCCGGTGTCAGTTATATACAATGGTAGAATTATCGGTGCCGGTCAAATAGAATTCCCGGCAATGTTCACTGATCGCATAGAAGAAGGCATGAGTGAACTAATGCATGCGGATACCTGCATATTTGAGCGCGAAAGTGAAATTGTCGGCACCCTTGAGATACTTTGCCGCCTGTATACAAAATGCGACGAAAAAACAAAGTAAGTTAAGGTGCGAAGGAATATAAACAAGCATCATCATTTATTCTTTTAGGCAGGAGGATGCAAAATGTCTGCTGTACAAGGACAAAAGCATCAATCCGCAAGATATTATGTTTGTTATGGGGGAAAACCAACAGTGTCCCAATCAAAGCGATCTTTGTCCAGATGTCATGTACCCAGATGAGGACGATGATCGCCTGAAATTGGATTTGCTGCGCTACCGCAGCTCCAATGGTAACGACCGCCGGCCAACTGCCACGTTCATGCATAACCCAGTAGCGAATAATGCCGCAGGTGGGATGAAGGTAGCTATTAACGCAGTGTATTCTCAAAAGCTTGCTTCTTAGGTATCGCATATAATTTCAGCAAATGGCACGGGACTGTGAACAAATAATTGACTCAATTATCAAACGCACTGGCCAGCCTCAGCAAATGATTGACGAAGTTGACTCTACAGTTGAACCTCCACCGACCTTACCAAATGTTCCCCGTTTTTCACAATTTCCCGCGTCGCAGGCCAACAATAATGAATTATGCAACCCAAAAGTGATACCGGTACCAATCAGTGAAATTGAAAAGCCATCCATCAAACCCATACGCTTCTGCCCCGTCTGCCTGACCAATATGTCATGGCTACCCAAGTTCGCCGCATGTCCCAATTGCGGTGTGAAGCCCATGCCAGTCATTGAAGAACGCCATAAGGAAAAAAAACTAACAGCCGACCAAATAGTGAGCGATTTACTGGGTAAGCCGTTCCTGGAAAACATGGAAGATTTCTGTTCGAAGCTCTGCACTGCACCGGCTGCAAAAAATGCTAACGAAGATCAACAGCTCGGATGTCGGTGCACTTGCAAGAACGGAAAAATCTGTGCACACTGCCGAATACGAAAAATTTGCTCAGATATATTTCAAGGCGATGAAGGCCAGCCTGCATGCCCTGAGGCAATCCCAAAATCATCTGAGGTAATTTGCTTGGAAGATAATAACGTAGAAAAGTGCCGTCCACACTTGGCGCGCGTATTCTCTGAGCTTCGCGAATTGTACAACATCAAAGAAAGCAAGCTAACGCATGGGGCCAGCAAAGAATGCGGTCAATATTCGTCGCCTAATAAAAATCCACAAGAAGTGGATGCGAAACCAAAAGGTAAATTAAAGGCATATTTACCGAAAATAAACCGTTCCTCTGCGGAAAACACTGCAAAATTAAGGAAAGCAAATGTCGAGCAAAGGCAAATATCCTGCAAAATAGGACACAAGTCCTGTGTAAGTCAACGGGGTGCCGTACCTCCCAACCACGGATGGGCCTGGCCTTCCAGCAAGCTGACGCGCAAGTACGGCTGGCAGCCAGGCTTCGTTCGCAAGTCCATCAAAAAGATTATGAGGTTTTTTTTGCAATATTTACCAGAAAGAACCGCACTTGACACATGTGTGAAAGAGAAAAAAGCAGACATGGAAAGTTCGTTACCCATTCTTAACGTGTGCAAGAAAAAGGGTGAAGTCTTCATTACCCTGCGAGCGGTCAACAACAAGGATGTTGAGATTAAGCCCATTGTATTCAAGGTAGTTAAAAGCGATTTCGCTGTGGCTCTAAGCGAGATCAAGAGAAAGTTGAAAGCAAAAGGTTTCCCCAAATGCAGCTGCCATAAGACGTTGATGTTGTGCACCTGTCGCAGCTACTACGAAAAGAAATATCTCGAGCATGCGCTGCAAAAAGAATGCAAACGTCGCGGCATGGTGAGCTGTGTGAACGAACTGGTGCTCACAGACACCAGTGACAGCGAAATGGAGTACGATTTTGATGTGACACCGCCAGCGGGCTTTACACAGGCTCGAACGGTGCCAAAGCCACTCACCGTTAGCCATAGCACCCAATGCATCGCAAGGGATAGTATTGCGCTCCCCAGGTATCCAATCAAATACAGCCCCTATTGGCGCGCCTATGATTGTGCTGCCGGTGATCGTTACACGGGCACAGCCTTCGGCGCTCCAGCAGAGGAAGTGTTTGAGGATGGTTCCTTTGGGAGCAAGGGTGGCGGTGTACATGGGGAATCAGCTACTCCGGGCGCCAAAACTAAAGATAAGGCTATTAGGGGGAAAACTTCTAGAGGACCAATGAGGGCTAGTCATGCTGCGAAAAAAAAACCGAATGCCGCTGGACTCCCTGAAGTTAGAGTACCTAAACGGTTTGAAAAAAAACTTGAAGAGGCTTCCAGAGCTAGAGAGAACGCCGTAAGGAAAGAAATCACACAGAAGAAATTGGGCATCAACATGATGAAGTATTTGCAGAAACACGGAGCCTTTTCTAAGAAACGCCCTGCTGTTGGCCCAGACGGACTTACCGATGCACAACGTAGGTGTCGTGCTCTGCGGCAAGTCCCCCCACCCCCTATCGAATTCGTGACTCAACTTGGTAAGGGCTTTAATCCCTGTACTGCCGGATGCTGCAATTCGTATGGCAACCAGTGTCTCAATCCTTGTTATTACAGGTGCTAAATAAATATTGGATCTGTGTGTTTACAATTATTTTTAGAGTATTACTCATATTTTAACCCAAAACAAAAAGACTTAGTAAAGAACTTGTTTGACTCGCTTCTGCACTGATCTTGGCTTATCTGATCTCTGTGCACTATTATGTTAATCGACCTCAACCTAATGTAATTAATGAGTAAACGAAGAGCCTTGTTGGGATTCGACATCGGAATCGAGAGAAAGTTGGGTAAACGTCTAAAAATACTTGGGTTTTCGTTTAATATACAAGAATTAATATAAGTCACTTACTTATTTCCAACAATTGTGAAGCCACTAAATTCTATAGGCTCCGACTCTGAAGCGTATATATTTTTTTTAACAGTATCAGCTGGCGAGTCAATATAGCCATGTCTGTCATTCCTGTATGCAAGCTAGACTTGGTTTTAAAGCTATCTTCGATAAACTTTGCATAAGCTTAGCGAAAATATAGCAAATGTTCTGTTAGAAGAGAAGAAATACAACAGCGTTCGTGCTTGTGTGAGCATAAAAGGAAGCTCCGAGCTACGTACAAGGTATCTGCCCGTCAGGCGGTCTCGTCTGAAGCACCCTAGGTTGTTTATAATAAAAACAGACGAATGCACAAAATAAAGTGTAGGTGACCTAGTCGCTACATTTAGCCATGTCCGCTTCTAAGCTTACTTGTCTCTCACTTATAATTTATGAAGTTTTTATACAAAATCGAACAATAGGACATATGTTTGCAAGAATATTTATTCCTCAATGATGGCCCTTTTTGTAAATAATTAATTTCATTAGTTCATCATAGTAGCATTTGTTTTTATACAATTATTAGGATACATCACAAAATTTTCCGTTTTTTATTTAAATTTATTGATTTTATTAAACTGTATGAATATTAAAAGAAAAACCAAAAAATGACTACCTGCACATTTCTCTTTGACATAATTGTGACAAATATTAAGTCACCCAGTATAAACACTCAAGATCTCAAGGAACTGCTAATTGGTGTCAAGTTTAACAATGTATCGATACCAATAACTGCGAGCAGGATCAATGTTACAGATTTCAAACCCAATTCTGAGACTGCGGTCACTGTGAGCCCGACGGATCTCCGCCAAACTCTCGAAGAATGTGGAATACCTATATCTGTGATGTACAACGGTCTTCTTCTCGGCATTGGACATCTACGTTTGCGCAAAGATTTCATTGAGAGCATCAAGGAAGACATGAGTGAGCTGATACAAGTGGATTCCTGCACATTTAAATGGGATGGGCAAGTTATTGGCGCGCTTGAGGTGCTCTACCGACTAGTCGTGAAATGTGAGGAACAGATAGTGTAAGTAAAGGTTTCCATGTATCGAGCCTTAGTTCTCAATCTTTCGCATTGTTGTGTAGCGTTCAAAATATTTTCAAAGACAAAAGCATCAACGAAGAGGATATCTTATTTATTGTGAGCGAGTCCCAGAGATGTCCCAGTTTCTGCGATCCTTGCCTTGATGCATTTGAAGATGCCGAGACTTTGAAATTTGGTATACAAAACTTTGGGAGTTTAAATGTCAATGACCCAAAGCCTTCGGTAACATTTCTCCACAACCCAGTTAGTGACGCCGCATGTTGTGAAATAAAGGTATTTTGAAATCTAGATAATACTCAAAACCTATCTTCTAAGGCCCGGCTTCTACATACAGAAAATGGCACAGGACTGTGAGGAGACAGTTGACTTAATCACAAGGTTCTCTGGCCAGCCAAAGGCTTTGAAGCCTCCTTGCCGATACCCACCCAATTTAAACAGTCCCTGCAATGTTCCTAGTCAGCGCCAGCCGAAGGTTACAACCCTCCTACCATGTTTCACCTGCATACCAATGTCAGATGGTGGCAACAAAAATACTCGTGATCCGGCACTGATAACCGGAACGATCAGACGCAACTGTCCCGATTGCCAGGCCAATATGACATGGCTGCCGCCACTAGCCGCCTGTCCGAAATGCGGAGTACAACCAATGGCATTTGTAATGGAATCCAACAATCAGCCAGCAGCCGACGAAATACTGATAGAAAATCTAGGCAAATCACCAGATACCTCTATGGATGTCTGCGCGGATTTCATTGATAAAACAGGTATGGAAGAGACCGTAACAAATGAAAACAGATGTCGGTGCACCTGCAAGTTCGAAAAACTCTGTGCCTACTGTCGAGTACGAAATATGTGTGCGGATATATTTCAGTCCAATGAGAAACCGGTTTCCGAGAAAGCCGAGGAAGACAACGAGATTTCTAAAGATATTTGTGCTTCAAATGCTGAGTCAGATGTGTTTCGCCCATTTCTATCACGTGTATTCTCCGAATTAGTTATTCTAAATTATATCAAAACCGTAAAACCAACTGAGATTGCAGAGCAAAGCATTCAAAAATCAACCTCGAAAGAAAAAGAGCCCCACATAAATAAGAACTCGATCTCAATCGCCGAGCGTAGAGAGCTGACCAGGCAAAGAATTGCTAGAAAAGCTGTGAAAAAGTCCATGCGATCCATCTCGCCCCGTCACGGATGGGATTGGTCATCCAGCGAGGAGGCACGTAAGCATGGCTGGCGACCAGGCTTCATTCGCAAGCCGATTAAAAAGCTTATGAAGTTTTTTTTGAAACACTCACCAGAGAAATGCAAGAAGGCAAGAGAAGCAGAAATGGAAAAGGAACGCCAGTTGCCCATTCTTAACTTCCGCAAAAAGAATGGCGAAATCTTCATAACACTGCGGCCACTCAATAATACAAATGTCGATATGAAGCCCATTGTATTTAAGCTGGTCAAAAGCGATCTTGCTGTTGCTCTAAGAGAGATCAAGAGCAAGTTGAAACGTAAAGGTTTCCGTAAATGCACTTGCCATCAGACGTTAATGATGTGCGTATGCCGCGACAACTTCGAGAAGAAACATCTCGAACTCGCACTGCAAAAGGAGTGCAAACGCCGTGGCATCCAGAATTGCGTGGAACATCTGGTGCTCACAGACACCAGTGAGAGCGAAATGGAGTTCAATTTCGATATGACACCGCCGGCGGCCATGGCGAATCGCGACTCGCCACCTATGCGCCGTCTCTTCAACAACGGTACACAGACGGACGAAGCTGATTTAGAGGTGCCACCGAGACATCCAAGCAGCTACCGACCCAATTGGCGGGCTTATGATTGTGGTGCAAGCGGGCGATACACGGGCACTGCATTTGGTGCACCCGCTGAAGAAGTATTTGAGGACGGGGTCTTTGGATATAGGGGCGGTGGTCCACACGGTACGGCAGACGTTCCACATGACAGCTCTAAAGGCGGCCCATTGCGCGTAGGTGGACGTGGCCGTGAATGGAGCACTCCTGGCGGGGAGACATTCCCCTATGGCAATAAGAAAAAACCGACAGGCGGAAGTGACCCCATTCCAGTTAAGATGACTAGACGATATTATCAGGCTATTGAAAATGCTGCCGAAGCTGAGAAAAAAGCCAAGGCGGACGCGGCAGAAGCTAAGCGGAGGGGCCCCGATATGATTAAATATTTAATCAAAACTGGCACTATTCCCAAGCCCTGGAACCCGAATGATTATGCCTAGATATACTACATTTTATGTTTGGCTAAACGAGATTTTATACAATGTTTTACCCAACCCAACACAACAATATCACTATTTTTAAAGATTTAATAATAAAGATTTGTTTGCCACTAACTTTTTTCTCCTACAAAGTAGTGAAGTTCTGTGACAGCTAGGAAGCTGAAGCTATTTTGTTTTCCATTTCATCTGCCTCAAACTTATTTTCAAAGATCTTCCAATTTGGTTGAGGAGTGTCTCAAACTTTGGACAATCCATGCCTCCTTGGTGGAAGGCCCTTCGGGCTCAATTTTACTTCCAAGAACCTCTCAAAAATTCATTTAAATCCTTTTTTTCAGAATCCAAAATCATCGGGGAGGAACGCAAATCAAATGTTTCTTCGGCGATGCTTTCTGTTTTGTCCGATTTGCTTCGAATGTCATCGGATTAGTAAAAGGCCTCCACAAATAACAGTCTTCGAACTAATAAACGGTACGGCATTAAATTCTAAGTACAAGATTGTTTACGCAATTACAACAGGATTTGAGAATCATACGAGGGTAACTCGATAAGTATTTGAAAAACAACTAGAGAGTGAGACATTTGTTAACTCTATGGGAAAATGCTGAAATGCCATTTAAATATATAGTTTTTTTTATCAAAACCCCTATTCCTTGACAGGACTTTTTTTTATTATATAATCCTGATGATCATATTGATGGTAGTACAATATAAGTTTGGTCCTGACTGTCCGCCTATATGTTTTTTTATGCAATAAAAATCGCCATTTAGCATTTTTTTTATATAAATGAAATAGTCTTCTAATAAAGAAAATTATATATACTTATGTGCATACGTTTTTGAAAGAAATGTAAACTAACCTAGCAACAAGCTTAAAACAAAAAATTTTTTGCTGTTTTGCCATTTCATATGAACCAAATTTATACTGCACTGCACTGACAAGTTGATTTTGTTTTAAATAGTTTGGAAAAAGTTATGAGTACATAACCTTATAATTTTCTTATATTTATGCAGTGGTATTTTATTTTCAGCACCTTGAGATAAGTGTTTGTCTTGTTATACTTATGAATTGGCTTCTTGAAGACTTGCAACAAATTTATTTATTAAAGAGCAAAAGACAAGAACACCTTGATGGCCTCTCGAATTAGTCGTCCGGCGAACAAACATCCACAAGTATATTGAAAACGTTGTGCAGTGCACAGTTAATTAAATTTAAGGCACGCACCAGCTGAGGTCGACAGAGAGGTTCTTATAGATATGATAGGGGGCTGTGGGTTTCTAGGCACTTGTGTTACTTAGAACAAAAGAGGGCCACACCCTTGCACCCCAGGTCTGATCAATATAACATTGATAGCTATGCAGGCTGGCTAAGCAGCTTAATGCGCACTCAATTCTTGACTTCCAATCAGTCAATCCATTCTGCTATGCATAATTAGTAAACTGAGACATGACTAATAATCTGCTCTATGTAGGAACTATAAATGTTGCTGTTGCTTGTACTTTGATTAGTGGCTATCACTAAGCTGCGGCTGGAATTGCTTTGGTTGGAGGCATTCTATAGGATACTTGAGAAATTTAAGAGCTAAGCTGAAAGGATGAATTTCATTTGCGTAAATTGAACTCACCTTGCAATGGGAGCTGCTAATGAGCCGCAATTTAATACAGCAAAAGGAAATTTAAAAAACAAAGCGAGACAAAAAAAGGTATAAGAGTTACGCAAATTCCAAATTTTAATTAAGAAAATTACGCCAATTAAGGTAAATGTAGCGAGAAAACAGAGAAAATTATAAAATATATATTAAGGTGCGACAGGCCTAGCATAATCAGAGTCTGGGAAAATTATTTAAATGGTATGAAATACAAAAATAAATTGTTTGCCAAAAAAGAAGATAAAGTAGATTTTAATAATATTTTTATATTATTTCTAGTAAGACCAACATCTCTTAAGAACAATAAACCTAGATGAAACCTGGATGAAACGTTTGTAAATATTTTAAAATAACAATAAGAAATCAAAGACCATTTCGCTGCTACATTTCTTCCAACGCGCAGAAGTGGAAACAAAAAATAATATTTTTCCTGTATTATTTGTTTAAAGTGTATCAAAGCTTTGCCAACGCCAACGTAGCTTCTCTGTCTTGTTTATATTACACATTTTAGGCTTGACAGCTCTGATTGTAATAGGCATTTTCTCATTAATATTTCATGGCAGGCTTTACACCTGTCGCGGAACACTTTTTTAGTGCTGTTGTGGCTATTTTTAGGTTAAGCGCATAATGGCCATAAAAAATAAATATTAAATATCTTATACCCCAAAAAATATTATTAAATGATTGGTTACATGCATGTACTGGTTTTACTGTGCAACGAACCTCAGCATTAATGATGTGACACTGGAACTCCAACCAACCATAAAGAAAAAGCTCGAGAATTTAGGGTCAGACGCTGGGCAACATTTATTGAATTTTTCATGTAAAAGACTTGTTAATTTACGCTTTTAAAGGGGGCTTTGGCCGAAAAATAAGTTTTGCTTTTTTTTCCATAAGCAACAAAGAATGAAAAAAACAAAAGCATTCTATCACGAAACTTAAATACACTTTAAGTGTCAAATGTTATTGAATTGTAAAATATATAAGCGCCAAGAGATTTCCGACGAATTAAAGTTCATATGCGATTAGTGTAGTAAGTTCCAAGGCAGACAAAGATATATTTAAGTAAAAGTATCAACTTATATTTACAACCGCAAAACGTAATTTTAAATATTTTGTAGGTTGCGTTACAAATACTGAAAGGTAACCCACCAGTTGCTGCCATTCCGTACGTTAGTTAACCTGCCCGTCATGCCATTCCCCAGCCCATTTTATGCCAGTCATGTCAGTGTCCATTCGGTCTGGCAGTTAACGTCCGTTTCCGTCGGCCCAAACAAAGCTTTTATCAGATTTTCATGTAAAATGCGGGAACGCGGACACCAAATACGCGGCGCACTTTACTTTGCTTTGCAAGTAACGACCCCATCGGATGCCGGCAATAGCACGTCGAGGCGCGTTAAGAAAATGTTATAAATAAAGTAAAGTCGTTTGGGTACTGGCCAAGACACTTTATCATCATTTGTCAATTAGTTGTGCGAGTGCCGAAAACGGGAAGTGAGTGTGAGTGTGTGTGTGTGTGTTGCCTGGGGCCGGATCCATTAGAGGCAGAGTTATTGTTTCATAATTCATTATAATTATGACAGTAGTTTTGTAGATGGCCTAAAGCCTTGCCGTCGTCCAATGATTTTGAAGTTTTCCCCAAGTTGCTCAACGCCTCGATTCTGCCCGTGTTCTTCCATCTATTTTAGTCCGTCTAACTGATTTGCAAAACTTTTGTTCTGTGCTGTTGGCAATTTTTGCAAATTTGAAGGCAGCTGCGCGTGTCGCAGTTGCCAGTTGCCATTTGCCAGCTGCCGGCTGCCAGTTCGCCGCTGGCAGGGCGCAGATTTCAGTTTCAGCTTTGTCAGCTCGCTGGCTTTAATGCAATACGATAACTGCAACAAAGCAAAAGGAAACAGAGTCCCCAACTTTGAGACACCTGCTGGGCTAACTGCCACGCCCAACGAAATGTACGAGCTGACATTTTCTCCATTTTTGTTGATTTTTATTTTTATTTTTTTGTTTTTTACGTAAGCTTGCACTTTTACGAGTCTCGCAACAGAAACCAGTGCGGACACAAAATGCCAAATGCTATTTGGCCAAAAATTCGTTCGTTTGTGGTTTGGAATTTTTTCCGCTTTTAATTGAAAATTCGATTGGAGCATTTAATGGTCGGTTCAGGCGGCAGGCGGCAGGCAAGCGGCAAACGCCAAACGGCGAGAAGCTCGCATGTTGGCATGCAACTTCAATGGCAACGTTGGCCTAATTAATGCTGAAATGCTCGAGGCGACAACGCTGCGTATGAGCAACAAACAACATCAACGTTGGTTACGCGGCGTAACCAAAGAATTCCGGTGTGTGAATGTGCATATAAACATGTGTGTGTGTGTGTGTGTGTGTACTTGTGTCTGTGTGTATTATGCAACTATTATGTGCCAGCAAAACGAACAGAACGACATTTTGTTACCTAAGGTTTTACGATTTCGTTAAGAGCAAAGGGCAAGCGCAGAAAATAAAAACAGCTGAAAATCGTTAGCCAATACTTTAAAGGATCTATAACTAAATACCCAGTAGATGAAAGATACAGTTTTCCATTTTTTTTAATAAAATAATCATAATAATTGAAACCTAATTATAAAATCAATCATTCAGGTTTATATTAAACGCAATATAAAGTAATTTTTCTAATCATATTATTTGTCTAATGTATATGAAGCTTTGATTTTAATTGTTTTTTAAATATTGTATAGGAAATGAAACCCATTTAGCTGTTTTATGTAGCATACCCTTTCGTTCAAAATGGCTACAGGGCATAGCAAGGGCTTAGAGTCGCAAAAATTGGAATCGAGCTATGCAATAAAGTGGTCAGTTTTGGGAATTTCAACACAAGTTTTTTGCATTACTTTGTTAGCCAAGCTTTGGTTCAGCGCATTTTTTAATCAAAAGAACGAAGGCAATCGCAAAATATGCGCCCAAAATCCGAAACATGCAACTTTAACATTTGGTTCATCCCCAGAGCTGTTGCATATATTCAAATGTAAGTCACAAAGCTGCACTGGTGCCTAAAAAGGTACACAATATTATAAACCAAGAGGAACCAGAGTATTGCCACAGTGTTTACGGAGGAGGGGTGTTTGCGGTGCAACTCTCGGAATTACGCACAAACGTAAAAAGTGCTAAAAACAAAACTTTTAATTATGCGCTTTGAGCGCTAAAGGAATTCCCACGACGACCCAGCGGGGGTTACATGGAATCCATCCAACTTGCAGCCGTCCGCCAGCAAGCGATGTAGTTTCCCAGTCCGTGCCGGAAAGTATGCAATAAAATATGCATGCAAACATATGAGCGAATCGCTTTACTACAGCTTTTTTAATTTGGTTACATAAAATAGAATAGACCTAAAACACTTGACTGACATTTTTACATAATACAGCAGTGACCAACCACATGTCGACACAGACAAGTTTTCCCTATTTGCTCTCTGAATTG